GTGCGAAGCGAATTACACATGCGAAACAAATCCTAACAAAAAAAAACACACTTACTCGCAGAGCCATGCCAGATATACCCAACGACAGATCCGCATCGTACATCGCCTGTAGCGCCGTTTTCTCAAAAGCTGCGCACAGGGGAGTAAAGGCCAGCACCACACGTTCTGAGTTGGCCAAGAGGTCGTAGTCCACGGGAATGACTATGTGCCATTTAGGACCCTCCGTCCTTATATCCACACGATATTCCTCTCCAGAAAGGCCCGTACCTCCTCAGGGTCTACGTCCGAGCCAGAGTCGTTGTCCCCCGCAGGGACCGCCCTACTTCCCCCGACCGCCGATGATGCACCACCGTCTGCGGCCTGTGTAAGCTCTCCGCTACCACGAACCGCTTCAACCCCAAAGGGCCTCCTCTTCATAACGGCACCTGCCGTAAAAACGGTCTCTACGTCTAGTGTAAGCGCAGATTCCGCTTCCAAAGCAATGAATTTTTTCGGCTCGGTGTCAGCGACAACGACCTTCCCGGTTTCCACCCTTCGCCTTTTCCTCGACGGTGACTCCTCACCATCAGATGGCTCGTCTACAAGATGATAGATGAGTTGGGAAGAGATCTCATCCGCATAACAACAGTTTGAGGGGCGGAGTCCCTCATTGGCGGAGCTTGAGTCCGACTTCCTCGAGCAGACTCGGCTAAAACAAATTGAATCCCAGCTGACGCGATAGCTTGACGAAATGCAGGCACTGGAGCCTTCTTCTTGGAACCTCGCCGACCTGGCACCAAAAGGAGGTCGTATCAAAGAGCAATGGTGAACAACAATAAGTTGAGGTAGAAATGACACTTACTGGACGGAACCTTGGGTCCAAAGCACTTGTGAAAGGACGCCCAATCGCGAATCCCCATGGTGTGGGGTAACACGCGAGCCACCCAGTCTTCAATGTCAAAAACGGGGGAGGGTGCACGCCTCTCAGCTAAAAACAAGAAGGCCGCGAATGAATCAATAATAAAAGAAAGAAAATAACAAGTGTAGGACAAGATACTTACGATGATGATTCCATTGTTCGGGAAACCCGATCGGATTCGCCACCAAGTGCTTGGTGATGATGAAGAAATACTTGTGCCAGAACCGCCGGTTCGCTTTATCATCCATCCCGGCCACCAACCCTTTTATCCCACGATGACGCAAGTGTATCAATGTACCTCAATGAAAAATGAGCGAAAATAGATGTAGAAGATGACGAACGTTGACCTCGCAATCGGCCAATTCTGTGTACTTCGCCAGCATCAGAAATACTTTTTACAAATAAGGGGAAAGCTGTGTCGGGCAGACGTTATAAAATCGGCAAAACTCTTCTGCTAATGGGGGGAGAGGAAGAGAATAACCAATTAAGAATGGGTAAATGTAAAAAGCACAGTAGCCGGGTCGGTGAACCTCTACGATGTCTCCCCCTACCGGAACAATTTCGACGTGATGAGGAATGCGATGTTTAGATCGGAGGTCATTTATCTGAGGCGGTCCCGTCTCATAAAGTCTCTGAGCAGGAGCAGGAGCAAGAGCAAGTTCCTTTGGGAAGTCATGTCTGACCAAAGGATTCTTGGGGACTATCTCTTCCATAGTAGGGAACCTGTCATCATCTTCAATCATGAATTCCTCGCTACCGGGAGGAAGAGCCACCGATAAGGGAGTGGCATCGGAGACCTCATCATGAATATGAGGGGATTCTGACATATTTCCAAAGAAAACGTACGCAACAAAATCTGGAGAAGGTGTTGATTGGGTGAGAAGTCAAGGATTAGAATTGAAGAAGCTGCATGGAATTGAAAGCAGAGATCGGAGAAGAAGATCAAAGAAGAGCAATGCACGGGCGAAATGAGAAATGATGAGAATTTTCAAAAATGAAGCCCCTCTATCTATTTATAGGGTTGGGTGGCACCAGAATCGAAGCAGCAGACCGTCAATGGCACCGAAATCGAAACGACAGAAGCACAAACACTGCATTGGGAAGACGCATAATGATGACGCGCATGGCCATGACGTCACCCCACGTTAGCTATACCAACTGCAGCCTCGCTGGCCATGCCGCTTTTTTGACCTCGGCCGATTCGATTTGATCAACACGACCAAATTTCTTCTAAACGGACGCAGACCGGGTCCGCTTATCGAGGACGTGCAAGATCACGACCTCAACAAGCGGAGGGACTAACTATATTGGTCTAAATTTGGACAGCTTAATAACTGCAGATAAATAGGGTCGAGGACGAGGTCGACCACAGGATAATAACGAGTAGTCTTTAGATGGATTATCGCTAAGGACGAGCAAATGGAGTAAAGAAGTAACGGTATGATAGATTTAGAAATAGCTATAAGGAATATTCCTTTGGATATTCCTTATATTGTACTTTTTAGGGTTTCTTGGGGATACCCCTTATAAATAGGAAGAGATAGAGAATAAAAAGGGATCTTCACTTCTTGATAAGAGCACTTTTTATAAAGAGCTGACTTGAAAGAATATACAAATATTGTCTTGTTCATTGATTCTATAGCTTTGCTCACATTATTCATTTCTTGTTCACAAGATCCAGAGATTACTTATCCATCTACATTTATCTTAGCTCCACGTTGCTGTCGGGAAGGAGAGTCACCCAAACCGTCTAACATTTGGGTGATAAAAATTCCTCTTTGTTACATTTATTGCCATTGTCTACATTTATCGCATGTTCTCATTACAATATTCATCGATAAATATTGAACACGTGCCTGATCTTGTTACTCTAAAACGTGGTCTGACTCCACGGATCTATCCCTGTTTTTTTTATCTAGATCTGATTATATTAACTAGGATTCATTCTCTATCTCATCATTAATTATTTTAACAAAGAGTTTAACACTTTTTGGTCAAATAGTGACAATACAAAACTGATCCACACTGAAGATTGAAAATAAAAACACCACAAGACACTACAGAGTGATTTGGATTTTGGACTCTATGCTTTTCAGCTTTGACATAGCTGCCAGCCTGCCACACAAGCTGAGTTGAACTAAAATCTAAACGGTGAGAGTGTTACTCATAGCTTAATGTAACTATGTAAAGTTTTGGCCGGATGATGAGTTAGACATTGTGACATCAAGGTTCCCAGTTGCCACAAAGCTGATATCTTTGAAGGAAAAAAGCAGACGAAAATCTATAGGTTGCCAGTTGCCACAAGGCAATAATGGCGCTTAAAAGCCGCATGACATTTTCAGTATGCCATAATTTGCAGTTTGGCACTCGAGCTGTTTGATTTGGCAGTTAATGTATCCACTCTCAATCTTTGATTGATATAAGTAGGGCTGTTCACTTGGATCGGATATCCGAAATCTGAACCGATCCGTTCAATTTCGAATTTCGGATTGGATCTTCGGATTATGTTTATTAAAATTTCGGATCGGATTCGGATTGGTATAATTTTAATCCGATCCGATTCGAAATCCAAAATTATTAAGGTATGTATAAATACTAAACTTTAATTTCGGATAGTTAGTACTTCCTTAACATTTTCCTCCGCGTTATTACCTTTACAATTGATGGATTTAGCTATATTGGCACCATTGTACTCTCATAATTGTAGAAACATGATTTTTTCTTACTGTATTGCCCTTTTACAAAGAAAATATACATACTCCCTCCGTTTCATATTATTTGAGGTAGTTTGACTCGGCACGGAGTTTAAGAAAAAAGAAGAAGACTTTTGAAACATGTGGTCTTAAAAGCTTAAGGGGTAAAAGGTTCGTGGGGCCATGCCATTTGTGTGGCTATAAAAGCTTCTCATTAAGGGCAAAAAGGGTAAAATGAAGAGTTTAAAGTTGAATTATTTCCAAATTTAGAAATGTGTCATTTGTTTTGGAACAGACTAAAAAGGAAAGTACCTCATTTAATATGAAACGGAGGGAGTATGAGTTTGCAACTTTGAGGCATATTAATCCGACTCGAAATCCGAAAATCCGATCCGATCCAAACTTTAAAATCTGATCCGATCCGATATTAATTCGGATTGCATTTTCTAGAATCCGAAATCCGATCCGAAATGTGCTAAATACGATCCGATCCGATCCATGCACAACCCTAGATATAAGTACTTTCTCTTCCCCCTGCCCCCCTTGTTCTGAATATTTGGGACCACTGTATTTTCATAGAACTCACAGAAAATTTAGTTAATTTCATGATACTCTCGCTATATGCAAGATCTGGAAGAACCCGACCACGTTAGATTTATTGCATGCAAGATCTGGAAGAATCCGACCACGTTAGATTTATTGCACACAGTCTTACTTAGCATTTCTGCGGAATGCAATTTCAACGGCTTAAACCTGTTGATTTGAAAATTCATTAAATTATACTCCCCCGTTCCACCTTGTTTGACACTACTCCGATCCCTCTGTTCCAGTTTATGTGAACCTATTTCCTTTATGGTCCGTTCCAAAAAGAATGACCCATTTCTAAATTTGGAAACAATTTAGCTTAAACTTACAATTCTACGCTCAATGAGAAGCTTTTATAACCACACAAGTACTCTAGACCCTTTTTTGACTTGTTTTGAACCACAAATTCCAAAAGTCTTCATTTTTTCTTAAACTCCGAGCCCAGTCAAACATGTTCATATAAGTTGGAACTGAGGGAGTATTTCTTTATTAGTTTGTTCAAAAAAGTATGACATATTTGTATATTTCATTAATGGGAAGCTTTTATAGTCGCACAAAAGATGTGACATATTTACAAGTTTTAAAAATCTTATATCTATATAAATGTTATGAGCTATGTAAAATTATAAATTTCAAAGCCTTTATTTCTTTACTATATATAGTAAATTTTATGTCATGTCAAACTATAACAAATATAGTCGAGTTAAGTCAAGTTAAAATCTTTGTATAATCAGTGGAAGTCTGGAAGATAACATTTGGTCCTGATCGTGACCTTACTTGTGAGTCGTGAAACTATAAAACTGACCCACATGGAAATTGAAAATACAAAGACCCAACACAATACAGACTACAGAGCTGAGTGTTTTGGACTGTGTTTTTTAGCTTTGACATGGCTACCAACAAAACTGCTGGAAAGCCAATTCGTTGCAGAGGTACTTACTCTTCAGAAACTCTCTTCATTTACAGCCCAAAGTTTTGTCCCATCTTTTCAAAATAAATCTTTTCAGGAATCTTTCATTATATTAACTTGAGTTCTTTTAGTTGGGTTTTCAGCCTATAGAGAAGTTCTTTCTCTGAAAAGGGGTACGAAGTGACGGAGGTAGGATTTTCGCTAAGAGGGTTCAAAAACGAAAAAAGTTAAAAAAGATTGTAGCTATTGAGAATTGAACCAATAACCTTACAAATATTTTAAACCCCCTTGACCACTAATATATGCTTTTGAGTTGTGCCAAGGGGATTCAAAACATAATATATAGAAAGTTAAAAATCAGATTTTCCTTATATATACAATGTAATTTTTCGGCAAATTGGATTTGGATAAACCCCTTCCACCCCCCTGAATCCGCATTTTGTCAGTTTTGTCTTAGTTGGTACGAAATGACTGAATGATATCACATTTTGCAGCTGCAGTGGCAAGAAAAGCAGGAGAAGCACTGGTGATAGAGGAAGTGATTGTGGCTCCACCTAAAGCCCATGAAGTTCGTCTAAAAATCATATGTACTTCTCTCTGTCACAGTGACTTTACCTTCTGGAAATTGAAAGTATGCAATTTTATGAGAATTAAAGACATTTTTTTTTGTTTTTTATCTTTTCGCTGTAGAAAATGCCTAACTTTGAAATCATCTGTAATATCTTGTCTTCCTTTAGGAACCTGCATGCTTTCCAAGAATATTCGGCCATGAAGCTTTCGGGTACTTTCAGTATATTCCGCTGTCATGTTCTTTATATCTGTTGTAAGAATACTTGATTCATGGTAAGTGTTAATTGGCTCAGGGCGGCCCGACCAATTTTATGGCTTAAAGCAAAACTTTATGAGGGACCTTAATTTTTTTTTTTTTTTATTATTTCGTTGAAATCTATTTTATTAGCTTTTCTTAGATACAAAATTATAAATAATTTTCTTACAAACAATAACTCCTGATAAGTATTTCTCAATTGACAATATAACTAATCCATTTAACCTTTCTTGTGACATTGTTGTTCTTAGGTAACATTTTATCTATTTTAATTTTGAAAACTTTTTTTGCTGAAGCAACGGTAACATGAGTTTTTAACATTATTCCATAAGCAAATTTAGGCATTTGGAAAAGAATTAAATATTTTTATTTGATTAAATGTACCAATTAAACTGTTATCTTCTAATTGTCCTATTTTCCTTAATACTTTTAATTCAGAAAATAAATCTAAACCATCAATATCGAAGTGATTATTATGCTTTAAGGAACATCCAAAATTAAGGCAATATTTTTTCAAATTTTCAACATCTAGCGATCTTAGTTTTTACTACTAAATAGAAAACCAAAATATTTTCATATGCTTCGAATTGTTCAAATCTATTTTGAAGTGAAAAAATAGCCTTGTCTATGATGCATAAAAGTAATCAACTCTAAAGGACTCTTCGAAAGATTTTGAGATTTTATCATCAACATTGCACATCAAATTGTTACTTCTTATATATCACACGTTTCTTGCGAAATTCGGGTTCGATATTCATTTCAAGTGCAATTTCCTTGGTAGAAATCATAGCAGTTGCAAATCCTTCTTCTCTACATTTGTTAAAGAAAGAAATCAAACTTTTTCACTTTATAGAACTCTTTTTTAAACTTTTACATAGTCTATTAGGTATAACAAAAAATGGGCCTCCCACAAATATGGGGCCTAAAGCGGTTGCTTTACTTGCTTTATGTAAGGCCCGCCCCTGAATTGGCTTAATTTGTCCTGTTGCTGGAACTCACTATAAACCATTTTTCTCCAGTCTCTAATTTCATCATAGATTCAAGGCCTGTACTTGAGATTATTTCAGCATGTTTAGTTACTACCTCTCTTTCAGCTAATATGGCGTAGTTTGACTAAGCGTGGGGTTTAAGAAAAAAAAAAAGAAGACTTTTAAAACTTATCGTCTTAAATATGATATAACATTTGCTCTATAAGGCTTTTTTTGAAAATGGTGGTTTTAAACATGCTGCAACATTTATGTGGCTATGCACCTTAAGAAGTTCATGTAGAGAGCATTGTTGAGGTTTTGAAATATCAGCTTTAGTATCTGTTGTGTGAATAAATATTGCTCTCTGAAAGTTGGTCTTCTCTATTACCTTTGGTGCGATACATTTCTCTTTTATAATCAGTTGAGTCCTAGTAATATGGAAATGCATTCCTAACATTTTAATTGTTCTTTTCTGTTAAATGAACCTTGGGCCTAACTCAACCCCAAAAGCTAGTTCAAGAGGTGAGGATTGCTCAAGGCCATATAAGGAGACCACCCATCCCCTTCATTGTCGATGTGGGTTCATCTCACGCCCAGGATTGGACATCTGGAGCGTGGACAATTATGGGGGCCCAACATCGGAAAATTAGGATGGGTTCTGCTCTGATACCATGATAAATGCACCTTGAGCCTAACTCAACCCCAAGAGCTAGCTTTTGGGGTTGAGTTAGGCCCAAGGTCCATTTAACATATATTTGTGACTATCTTACTTGTTGCAATTGGAAATTGATTATCATGCACTAGTGAATGAGGCAAACTTACTTTGTCATGTGTTGTTGACTGAAGGGTTGTGGAGAGTATTGGAGAAGATGTTGAGGATTTAAAAGAAGGAGATCCAGTTGTCCCGATATTTTTGCCCGACTGTACAGAATGTATAGATTGCACATCCAAAAAGAGCAACGTTTGCTCAAAATTCCAATTTAAGGGCTCTCCGTACATGCCTAGAGATGGCACAAGCAGATTCACTACTGCTGACGGAGAAGCCTTGTACCATTTCCTGTTTGTATCAAGTTTTGCCGAGTACATTGTTGTTGACATTGCTAACGTAACAAAGATTGATCCTCGTGTTCCACCTAACAGGGCATGCCTCCTTAGTTGTGGAGTATCAACAGGTTAGTTTCCCACCCGTCTTCCTTTTCCCTGCGTAATCATTTGTTAGAGTTCAGATTGTTTCAGGTTCAACTTCTTAATAGGCACTTAAATAATCATTTGAAATTCTTTTCTGTAGTTTTCATCAGATGTCTAAGAAGGGACCTATAGTTAGTGCATAGGGTAAAAACAGATTGTGTAAGCTCGATTACCCAAAAAGAGATCCACTTTAACAGACACATCAAAGTATAATTACAGAACTTCAGTTATTATGAGAACATTTTCATAAAAATTAAATCGTTGTAGAAAGATTTATGACAACCAAATGGTTTGTTTTAGCTGATTGGTGAATCAAGGTGTGCATTGCACAATGGATAAAGATGAAGAATACAAATTAATCTAACTTGTTTTCAAGATTTTGAATAATGTCTTGTCTGATATTATGTTAAGATGAGTTCAGGACTAGGTGCTGCTTTTAAAACGGCAAATGTGGAACCAGGATCAACAGTAGTAATATTTGGTTTGGGCGCAATTGGATTAGCTGTATGTACCTCTTTCTGCTTCTTCTTGCTTACATTGGCGTTGGTGTTCGTGTTGGCGAGTTTACATGCTTACACCAGTCTTATAGGTTGCAGAGGGAGCAAGGATATGTGGTGCTACAAGAATTATTGGTGTAGATATAAACTCAGACAAGTTCGAAATAGGTGAGTGATCAATCTGATGAGAATATCGAATAATATTCTTCTTCCACTTCTCCCTTTTGCTCCATCCCCTTTTCCTTTTCATTTGACTCAGGAAAGCAATTTGGAGTGACCGATTTCGTCAATTCCAATAGCTTTGGGGATAAACCTATTAGCCAGGTGGGTCTTTATTCGGCCAGATTGATATTTGATGCTCCAAAGTTTCATATTTAATGAAGCCAACTGCTGATTTCTTCTTCATTATTCCTATTTTTGTGGAAAATATAAAAAAAGATTATTGTTATCATTTGATTTAACGAGGGTATGCGATAAGTCACTTGATAATTTAAATCACTCAAGTAGCATATATCATTTCTGTACTTTGTTCAATACATGGCATGGTTATGCCATGCCAAATTTCTCACATTTCTTGAGCAAGTGATATATCAGATGACAATTACTTCACATGCAAATTTATCACAAATTCTTTTTCCGGTTTTTGAGCAGGTGATAAATGAAATGACTAATGGAGGTGCTGACTACTGCTTCGAATGTGTTGGTCTCGGAACAGTTGTGCAGGAAGCATATGCTTGCTGCAGAAAGGTTTCCCCAACAGCTTTTCTATTGAAAACCATTAACATAAGAAAGAACATATGTAATGATTTTGGCCGTTATATCAGGGTTGGGGAAAGACAATTGTTTTAGGAGTTGATAAACCGGGAGCAGATTTGACCTTTAAATCTTTCGACGTGCTTCATAGTGGGAAAACTCTCATGGGATCACTGTTTGGGGGTCTCAAACCCAAATCTGACATTCCTCTTCTTGTCAAACGTTACCTCGACAAGGTAATTAAGCAAATTGGTCTGTCTTTTCGCAGGCCATAGGAATGCCATCATATCAAAAAGTCTGATTCTTGTGTATTCGTCGTTTTGATGGGGATCTTTTGCATCTTTTCTAACATTTTTTTGTGTGGGTTTAGGAATTGCAACTGGACAAGTTTGTGACTCATGAAGTGAGTTTTCAAGACATCAACAAGGCTTTTGATTTACTTGCTCAAGGAAAGAACCTACGATGTGTTATTTGGATGGATAAATGATGGATCCTGTTACACTTTTTAAACAAGAAATGCTCTTTATGGTTTAGGTTATTGCACCTCAATGGTAGTCATGTACCTCCATTTTATTACCAATTAATATCTATTTTATTCCCTCTAATAATAGCTCCAGTAATCCATGGCAATCGTAATGTTAAGTCGATCTGTTGGCTGTTGCTATTCAAATAAGATAAAAAGTATTTCATAGTTATTACACTTGCATCTTCTTAATTATTGGAGTTTTCTCTATCTGTTTTTATCGTGCCTTTGGTTTGAAACAAACATAGACATTTCTAATCTGCCATGCCTGTATAGATATCAACCCACAATTTCTCTAGATATAGCTATGATTATTGGAGAAGATTTAGCAAACAATACTGTGATTTTACAACATACATCTATGCGATTGAATCATAATCAGAAATTAAGGAGTGAACTACAGCAACATACATCTTGTATGAGTTAATTTTATGCATGGTCATTGAACTTGTGTGTTTGTTACCCAAAAGTCACTTTTCTTTTTTTGGTTACGTAAAAATCATTCAACTTTGTGTTCATTACACAAAAGTCACTTTTCTTTCTTTTGCTACACAAAAATTATTTTACTTTGCTCTAGTTATCACAAAAGTCATATTTTTATTTGAAAAGTCTATTATGCCCTTGTTATTATATAAACCTTCATATTTATGTAATACCTTCTATATTATATACTATATAATATACTTTTACCTATGTATTTTATTTATAAATAAATAACTTAATATTATTTTATTTATTATTTTTATAATATATTCGTATTTTTAATTTTTTCTAACTTTAATTTTCAAGATATATTAGTAGCATTATAAAATAACTTTTTTTTTTCCAGCAATTCTTTTTTTTTTTGAATTTAATTGACCGACCAAAGTTGGTCGGTAGGACCTTCCGACCTTCAAAATACCGACAACACGTTAATGGTCGCGTTTTGGACGGTTATTGGTCATTACCGACCAACTTTGGTCGATTCGTTTTAACGGTTTATCCCGAATTTCAGTAGTATAAAATAACCAATTGCTCAGGTAAATCCCCAAAAAAATATCCCCAGCTAAATTCGCATGTAGAGTTACCTAGGGATTTTACTTCAGATTAACATATGATTTTTTCATCATTTTCTTTGTTTGTTTACCTACAAATTTTCTAACGAAAATGTACTTGCCGATTTTTTTCTCTACTAGTATATATTAAAGTTATTGATAAATTTAATAACACTACTAATATATTTTGAAATTAACTTTAAGAAACAATTAAATATATGTATATATTATAAAAATAATAAATAAAATAATATTAAGTTATTTTTTATAAATAAAATACATAGGTAAAAGTATATTATATAGTATATAATATAGAAGGTATTACATAAATATGAAGGTTTATATAATAACAAGGGCATAATAGACTTTTCAAGTAAAAATATGACTTTTGTGATAACTAGAGCAAAGTAAAATGATTTTTGTGTAACAAAAGAAAGAAAAGTGACTTTTGTGTAATGAACACAAAGTTGAATGATTTTTACGTAACCAAAAAAAGAAAAGTGACTTTTGGGTAACAAACACCTAAGGTTCTCGTTCGACGCGCAACGATCAGATTTCTCCTAACTTACAAATCAACAAAGTCCGTCCGTTGAGCCCGCCGAGAAGCGACCCCATCGGACGGAGGGACTAACTGTATCGGTCAAAATCTGACCATGGGTTAATCATCTCTAAGAGGAACGATATGGGGTCGACCAAGTCGTAGTCATGCCCACAAGGCAAGATGACAAAGGACACCTCGGCCATCGTCGGGGCCAAATCGTAAGAAGGCTTACGTCGCGGAACCAATGTAGCGGTCAAGCAAATGAAAGAGGGCGTGGTAACGAGAAAGCACGCTGGTCAAAGACCATTGGACAAATGTGAAAGCTGTTAATATATTAGGGGTTGCTAAACCCAAAAGGGGGGGGGGGGAGGGGGGCTACGAGAGAAGCTAGAATCAAGAGAATATCTTGAGGAAGAACAGCCCCTTCGCTTCCTTTCTGTTTCTCCCATGTTCATGATGCAAATCGGTCATAGATGTAAGCTTATCACATATGATTGATGTATAACTATTGTATGAAGAAATATTATCCGCGATTATTCTTCCTCCTCATTTTTTCTTTACCCTGCATATCTAGATCTGAGATTAATTATGTTTGGCTAAGATTTACCTTCTTTAATTCTAGTAATTAGTTCGACAAGAGGGTTTTATACTTTTTTGCTCAAACAATTTGGCGCCGTCTGTGAGGATTTCTTAGCCAAATTTCCTAGTTTCCTTCAGATCTAAAACCGGCGAAATGCCACCACCCGTTCGAAAGAATGGTAAATAAACCTTTGAGGCAACAATACTAGCCTAGATCAGGCTGCTACATAAAAGTAGAAGTTATAACCAATATCTACGCAAAACTCTTGCCAGTAACGATAGATTTGGTACAACATACATACGTTCGAAATAGGATCATGGTCATCTGGCGTGACCACACCCCCATTCGACGACCCTCATTCCTAACCTTTATGAGAGGACGGCAGCTTGCTGCGCGGTCCTTTGAAGGAATGGGCACACCCTGCCCTACTTTCACATTCCCTCATACATCGGATGGTCCATAAATGAAGTATGATATGTTTCCTTTGTTGTGGGCACAAACCGAACGAGATCGGACCGGGACTCAATGTCAACACTTCAGCAAGTGAGGTAGGCCCAACTTGCGTGAAGCTTAGGCGCTACTATAGACGGAGCTAAACGCGGCCGCCAACTCAAACCAGGCAGAGCAAGTAACACTACAACGTCGCTCTTTTCACTGACCCGTTGGATCGAGGTACGGAAAATTTCATTTTGGTTTATCCTCTGTTGTTGGTTTGGACAGGAATGCGAGCACTTGCATGGGCAGGTGAGCAAAAGAGCATTCCAACTAAAAACCATGGAAGGAAAATTACTACAAAATAATAGGAATGTCCGGCACCATGTCAATACCGCAGTCCCTGAGAAAGAACACTCCTCAAGTCGTACCCTTTCTCCCTCACCCGTGTCCCATCACAGTTGGTTCCTCTCGGGAAGATTTCTAACAAGGCGATGAAAGGGGCGTCTCGACATGCAAATATAATTCATCACCCCGCCTGCCGACTACCTCCCCAGACCGGGCGACGAAGGGGCTATATACGTGAAAACTTCTCCAATATATGTATGAAATGAACGTGTATAATATTCTCCCGTGACTGAAACAGAGCAACATTTTGTACTCCCCATCAAGGTAGTCTACAACGCAAACAAAATTAAGCAAACTGAGACTCACTCAGGAAACATATCGTTTTCTCCAAAATTAAGCAAACTAGGACTCACCCAGGAAACGCAGAGGCTAAGCAAAACTAGGATTCCTCCAAATGACGAAACAATCCTTTTATTTAAACATGCGCAACGACCACACCTTACATACGACCAAAACAAGCCCAATACACATAAAAAAAAGAAGAAAAAAGACCTATACAAAGGCAACAACTTTTCACTCGGCACCATCACCGCCGTTCTCCCCATCGTCATCTCCAGGAAACTCCTCAGCATCAGCATCCTCGCTGGCCTTTGGCGTCGTAGGGTCGTAGCCACAGTTGACACGAGCCTCGCGTGCCTTTGTTCGGGCTCCTTCATAAGCAGCCTCAAAAACATTGCCCGCCTCCCACAAACTCTTGTATATGTCCCGTTGGGCCTCGGCATGAACCCAAAGCTCGTGCAAGTGGCGAGGCAGATTCTACCTGGCCAACAATTGCGCCTTCTCAGCCTCGAGTAGAGTGACCCGATCTCCCAAGTTTGAAGCTTCCCGGTCAGTTTCGCCAATACGCTCTTCAAGCCTCGCCTCCCTTAGCGTGGTCTTTTCCCTCTCGGATTCCTGCTCAGATTGAAGGACACAAATAGTGTCCTCCAACGCCGCCGCCCTTGCTGAGGCCAACGCCTGAGCACTTTCGGCACTCTCCAACTCGGACACCTTCTTTTCCAGCTCGGCGAACATCCCCATCCACTCCGCACTCAAAGCCTCGACTCTGACGGCATTTTGATCGAGCTCGGATCGCAATGACAACACCTTCGCCTGAAGATGCTCACACTCTGCAGCAACCCCCTTTCCCAACTCGAGTTCTTCGTCCTTTACACGAAGTAGCTCCTCGAGTTCACTGTTCCTGCGAATGGACTGCATTAGCTCTTGATCCCTTTTCTCCAGCTCCTCTTTGAGAGATTGATTGCTGGTGCTCGCCCTGAGCCGCTCGTGCATCTCACGTCATTTGTTGCGGTAGCGCCGGTACTTTTCCAGCATCTTCGGAAAAATCTTGGCCCGAGTGTCGGCCCTACGAACACTTTCAATCTCCAGCATGTAAGACTGAAAGCAGAAAAAAGGGGGGGTCAGTGAAGGCCAAGGCCGCCAAAAACAAAAGGAACACAAAAAAGAGGAGGAAGAGAAGAAACTTACTCTCAGGCCCATAGCGGCCAGTTCATGCATTAATTCGACGTCGCTGGCATCTTGAAGAGCCTCGCACTCTGCGGCGGAGCATAGAAGATCAAACTGCGGTACCAAACCCTCCGTGTCCGGCAGAAGATTGAGCTCCGATGGAATCTCAAATATACTGGAGGGACCTCCCGCTCTTACCACAGTACGGTTAAAGCTCTCCTCGAACATCCTGACATCATCAAGATCAAGGTCGGAGTCAGACTCGTAGTCGTCGACCACAACGCCCTTTCCCCTCTCTACGACTAAAGAAGCTCAATTCGGTCCGGATGACGAAGGCCCGCCCAGATCGGCAACAGTAGCCTCGGGACCTCGACTTCCTATCGCAATAGCCCGTTGATCGTTCACAACGACCAAAGCCTCTACCGTTGGGTTGGCTCTGCCAACTGGCTTGCCTTTGCGGCCGGGTTAGCGTCACCGCCAATTTCAGGCACCGCCAAGGGAAGGTCGCCGCCCGAAGAAGCTTCGGCAGAAGGGGCCACTTCAGATTCCACTCGCCGTCTCTTCGACGGACTCTCTTCGCTATTTGCACGGGAAGATTCACCCGTTGAGCGAATAGCAGAAGCCGGAGCTTCAGGATGAGGAACAGTTTCCATGCATACGGCCCCGGCCATAGGTACAGATTGAGCATCCCTTGATGTAGGCCGGGCAGCAGACCTCAGCGCGGGCCGGGCGGAAG